TGTGTGTGTGTGTGTGTGTACACGTGTGTGTGTCTGTGTCTGTGTCTGTGTTTGTGTGTGCCTGTGTGTGTGCCTGTGGAGGCCAAAAGAAGGGGTAGGATCTCCTGGAACTGGAGTTACAGGTAGTCGTGAGCTACCCAATGTGAATACTGGGAACAGAATTCTCTGAAAGAGCAGCAAGTGCTCTTAACAACTGAACTGTCTTTTCAGCCTTTCATCTAGTTACTTTAGAGAATCTGCTTTGCATGCACTAGGTAGCAGCCATACAACAGTAACCAAGTTTTCCTTGCGCCTCACACTTTCTGGACTGATAAGTTGGTGAGCCTTCCTGCATCTTCAGTCCATGCTGGTCTCTCATACAAGGCTGCAATTTAGCACACGCACGCGCATGCACACGCACACACACACACACACACACACCATGACCATCAACACAAAAACAAAGCTATAGTATTACTCAGGATCTGATTCCCTTGGAAGCTGGGCCAGTGCACTTGGTCTTGGGCCTAGCATAGTGACTGATACAAGGCAAAACCTACAGCAAATATTTGATTCGTTGGCCTCTCTCTCTCACTCTATCTCTCTTTCCTCTTAAGATTTACTTTATTTTTAAATTATGTATGTATGTATGTATGTGGGGGAGTGGTATGTGAATGCAGGTGCCTTTGGTTGCCAAAAGTGGGTACTGGATCCCCTGGATCTGGAGTTACAGGTGGTTGTGAGCTACCTCATGTGGGTGCTGGGAATTGAACTCACATCATCTGCAAGAGTAGTATGTGTTAACTGCCATCTCTCCAATCTCCTCTTTTCTTTCCTTTTTTCTTGCTTGTTTTTGCTCTGATATTTGAGACAAGGCCCTGCCATGTAGCTCAGGCTGGTCTTGAACTTGAGATCCTCCTACCTCAGACTTCTGAGTGCTAAAGTTAGAAGTGTGTGCTACTATGCAGGGCTGGTTTTTGTTAAATGCATGAGATATTTCTCATGTGTCTCATCTTTTGAGTGCAAATGACATCATTGAAATCAGATACTGTGCAAGTCAAAGGAAACCACATAAAAATGTTCACCAGGACTAGTAGCCCTTGGAGGGCAGAAACAGGTTTTCTCTGGTACTCCAGGACCACAACCTGTTACTCAAGCAGTATTGATAGATAGCACACCCAGGAGATGAATCCCTAGACACTTCTCCCCTTACCTTCACAATCTCAGGGTCCAGGTCACCATTGCAGCTGTCAAAATATTTCTTCAGGTCCTAAATAGAGATGAGGGTGTGGAGAAGAAGACAGAGTTCAGCCTTGGTCTGGACTCCTATACCCTCCCTTGATAACTAATCCCACCCCCCCAGCCCCTCTTTCACCTGATCACAGAACTCAAAAACCAACGTCAGCTTCTTGTCACTATGCAGGACATCATGAAGCCTAGAGAGAATGAAAGGCTCAGCCAGATCCCAGTACCTCTAGCATCCCAATACAGCCTAGTCTACTGAGGAGGTTCTATCTCCTCCAACAGACCTCACCTAACAATGTTTTTGTGCTTCAGTTCCTTGAGTAGACAGATCTCCCGGAGGGCTGAACTTGGCACACCCTACAACATGCAAGGAGACAGTAGTCACAGCCCACCCAAAATAGGCCTTATACCCCTCCCCCCACGCCTCAGTCCTACCTCATCGTCATCATCCAGCCTGACACGCTTCAGAGCCACAATCTCATGGGTTTCCCGGTTTTTGGCCTTGAACACAGTTCCATAGGTGCCTAGGGGAAGGTCGGGGGTGAGGGAGAGGATCCTTCTCAACATCTTAGTATGTAAGGGCAAGTTTTCAGGTGAAGGTTAGTATGGAGTAGTTTTGTGAGTGAGGATGCCAAGGCGAAGGTGCCTAAAAAAGCTCAAGGCTCCAGAGGCAGGGGGAATCTGCCATAAGCTCAGAGGGTGGGGGGTGGGGTCGGGAAGTAGCGAGGAGTCATCTAGCAGAGCAGTGAAGGCCTGCAAAAATGTTAAGGTTGGAGGTCCTGCATTTTGAAGCAGGGGTTCCAGGTGAGGGTTGCAAGTGATGCTGAGGCTAGGGATGAGAAATGCAGGAAGTGCCGCGGCTAGGAAGATCGGTCCACAGAGACTGCTAACGCTAAGAGCAAGGGTTTGCCGCAGATGGTAACACAGGGAGAAGGGTTGGTGTCTGCACCGAGTGTTGGGCTCAGCGGCCAGGGCTTTTGCCCAGTGCTGAGGTCGGAGCCTGCAAGTATAGCTGACGGTAAGGGAGCTGGGACTGCAAGCAGGGTCTTCAGAAAAGGACCTTGCAGGAACATCTCGTGGTTCCATTACCTTCCCCAATCTTCTCCAGTTTCTCGTATTTCTGCATCGCAGCGGCCGCGGGGACCCCTGCGGGCCCTCGGTTCTAAGACTCCCGGCCCCGGCGTTGCAGAGGAGGTGGTACCCACAGCTCCAGCCCCGCCCACCCGCTCCCCCGCGCACAGGCGTCTGGGACTTGTAGTTCCTGGGTGGCCATGTTTCCCAAGAATACCCGTGGCGAAGGGCACGAGGACTACAAAGTCCAACAGGCCGCGCTCGGACTCTATGCAGCGATCAACTCCCGGGACTCGTTTCCACCGCGGAGGCAAACCTTAAACTTCAACTCCCAGGAAGCATCGCGTGTCCGCTTTTCGGGCGTCTCCGCCAAGGCGCGGAGGCTCCCAGTGTGCCCCGCTCTTGTTATTATTCCTTTTCTGTGCTCACAGCCTTCCAGAAAAGGGCCGCTCCGGGACCGCGCGTTCCAGAATACAGTGAGGGTGGGGGTGGGGTACTCTCTGCTTGAAGTTTGCGTTTGACGGCCTAGATCTCGGGCGCTGTTGGCCCGGCTCTGACCTGGTTGGGTGTATTGAGTCGCCAGCAACCTCCTGACAGCTTCAGCACTAGTTTCCACCTCTCCCTAGGCCACCTGGTGACCCTAGGACTGACTGGGGAATGATTCTGAGCGATGTCTTACTGCTGATGACCTCACGGGGACCAGCTGACCACAGGGCTGGGCAGCGAGACAGGTGTGCCCCATTAGAGGCTGGATTTGAGTGGAGGGACACACGCCAGAGACCCCTCTTTCTGCTGGGCCCGTTTTATCGTCTCGAAAGCCACCGGACTCCAGCGGCTCCACTTTGACATGCCGAGGCCAGCTGACGGGAGCCTGGGTATCCCCCAGATCCCAGTCATCAGAGCAGGCCCACTGGAGTCAGCCAGGGTGTGGCCCACAAGGACTGGCAGGTCAGTTACTCCCTTCAACAGACGAGACCACAGACAGATGCTACACTTGGAGCAAGCAGCCTTTACCTCACCCCGTAAAGGAGTTGATTATAGATTTTCTTGCACTGCTCTCTAATTGTCTCATGACTGCATTCTTGAGGGCTGTGAACCGGGCGAAAACGGCCCCAAACAGCATTCCTCAGCGCCGGAACCAGAGTAGCGCTAACCATTTGTTAATTAACTTACTTAAATCTGAGTGCTTTTGCATAAACAATATTGTGTGATTCGCCCACGTGGCAGACTGAAGACGCATAAAGTGCATTCTTTATCTGAAATAATTGATGATTTAGTTGAGAAAACAGGATGACACGCAAAGGTCTTTAAAATAGAGGTGTCAACTACGGGTAGGGTTCCATCCAGCGCGGAGGTAGTTCTGGTGCAAGTGAGGAGACCTCAACAAGTTGTCCTGCTTCCCATCAGTTCAGGGTCACGGTCACCAACTCTTAGCGTCATTACCCCTCACATTCGCGCGCCATCCGTTCTCTCGGGCAGACACCAGGGCTTTCTCGGAGGCCGTGGGGTTGTTTGGGCGGGAGCCCTGCAAGAGCCTTAACGCCAGAGAGTCTGTAGTTCAACTCCCCAAGACTCCATTTCCTGGCCATACTCCTCTCCCTCGATCCCCAACGTGAAGCTGACTCCTTTCCTCCCAGAGGTGGCTCCCTAGAGCCAAAAGAGGGCGTCCCCGGAGCCTTTGCGGGCGTGGAGGGGGAACAGCCAGGGTGCCGCGCCGGCGGTGTCGGGCTGTGCCTGGGAGCGCGCTCCCGCCACGGAGTCTCAGCGCCCGCTCTCCGCCTCCCGGCTAGCCGCGCCGGGGCCGCGCACGGCGCTCTGCGGGGGGCGCGCACGCTGGAGGCTGGCCTGCCCGCGGCGCGGGGGAAAGTTGAGTTGGGAGAAGTTGGGAGCGGCGGGGGCGCGCCCCGGGGTGGGCACCGGGAAGTCGTCGGGAGCGCGCGAGGGTTCCGGAGGATCAGGGGAGACCCGGAGACCCCCGGGACACGAAATCCAGAGCTAGCGGGTAAGCAGATAGGTGGGGGAGGGGGAGGGCCGCGAAGGAGTGGCGGGGGGGACGACTGGAGACTCGAGCGCCGAGGGAGTGGAAGTGGAGGAAAGGGCGGGGACTGGGGCGCAGGGAGCGAGGTCTTAGGGAGAAGGATGGGGAGGTGAGTGGGAGTACCGCTCCGAAGCGGGATTCCGGGGTCCGCCTCTTAAGAGTTACCTAAAGCCAGGGTGCCGCGCCCCCTGCCACCAGGAGGGGGTAGTCTCGGGGAGCTGCTACCTTCAGCTTGCTCTCCCACTCCAGGGCGGGTTCCAGACGACCCCTCTGCCCCCGAAACCTGCCGGTTTGGGGGTTGCCTGGGACCTCAACCCCCTGGATCTCGGGATTGGAAGGCGGAGCCCTGAAAGGGGATGGCGGGTCAGGTTAGGACAAGAGGTCAGACAGAAGGGGGGAGCAGCAACTGGGTGAGGATGGGAAAGAAGAGCCTGAAGTTTGATTTTTAGGGGGCTGCCTTCTCTGGGTAGGGAGCTCCTTGCGGGGTGTGGAGGCAGTGCTGCCTCAAATCTGGGGCCACTTTATCAAACTTCTCTCCGCCCCCACCATCCCCACAGCCAAGAGCTGTGGAATGTACAAATTCACTTGGGGAATGGTTAATGCCCAAGTGGGGGTCCGAAGTGCTAATCCCTTGGGCTGGGGGAGAGATGCTAATCCTTCGGGCCCGTCGGGGCTGGTCCGGGGAATGTGCCCCCACTAGGATTATCGGCCCCGATGCTCTGGACAGAGGCTGCTTTGTATTCTACGACAGCGGGGGAGGGGTGGGGGCACATGGGTGGAGGGAGGAGGGCTTGGTTGGAGGAGCACGCTTGAGGGCAAAGCCTGGAGGTGGGAGTGAGCACCCGCAGGTGCTCAGGACAGATTCCCTATACCCCTCCCAGACCAGGTCCCCTCCCTGGCACCTCTCCCCCACACTGGCGGGCCCTGGCTGAAGGCCGGCTGAGGGGGGGAGGTAGAAAGAGCAGTCAGCTGAGTTGGAGTCCTTGCCAGGAATGTGTAGCCCAGACTCCCCACCCTGGGCTGATCCCCCCCAGACCTCTATTTCTTGACCCTATACTAACCTGTCTCACTGCCAAGGTTGCCTTAAGTCAAGACAACCCCAACTCCCCAGCAGCCTTCGGCAGCTTAGTATGGTTACCTTTTGGAGAGCCTTGGGTGGTGCCCTCACTAGGAACGGGTACCCCGGTTAGCACCGGCTGGGTTCCCTCCACCCCCACCACCCAGCTCCCACTCTAGAGTCACCGTCAGGAGGGCTGCCCTGCCACTCAGATTTTCCTGGCCCAGGGCTAGGGAGGGGAGGGATGGAGACTGCCCCTAGCATTGCTGTGCCCACCCCCTTGACGATGTCACGTGCCCCTCCCCCATTATAAGCCCCACTGTCCAGTGCCTTCGTTCCTCCCACTGAGGGAGTGGAGCAGGGCTCCGTCTCCGCACTGGGGAGCCCGCTGGTCCGCCTGCCTTGTGGGGGCACCCCCTCCTTACTTGCAGGCACCCTGCTTTCCCTTTTGGGTTCTCTCCAAAGTTCTTTCTGGTCCTCTTTTTTTTCTGTTTGGGAAGCCAGCCACCCTGGCCTCCACACCCCTCTTGCTCTGCGGGGTGTCTCACTCCCTACCACACCCCTTTCTGGTCTCAGGCTCACCTCCAGGGGCCCCTGGTTCTTGTTCCTGTCTGGCCCTTCGCGCCTGATCCTTCTGTTCTTTATCATTCCCTCCCTCATCTGTTCTGCTTTCTTTCCAGGGCTGGGCCTTGACTCCTTCCTGCCTCATTTTTGTGGCCTCTTCCCCCTCTGCCTCTGTTCTCCCGGCTGCCTGTGTGCCACCCCCTTCTCTGCAACCCGACTCTTCAGTCGGCTCTTCTCTCCGTAACCCTCCTCTCTCTCTTCTTGTCACCTCGAAGGGCCACCATGAGGGTCTTCATCGTCTAGGAGGGTCTTGTATGTCGGAGACACCGGGGTGGCAGACGGCCGAGGCTCCTCTCCTCTCTTGAGCTGGGCTGGGGGCTAGCCTGCTCTTCACCCATGGTGACTAGCCCTTTTCCCCACTCAGGTTATGCCTCCGCCTTGTCGCCCTGAAAGCCGAAGCGACAGCGAAAAGGGCTAAGATTTGGCCATGAGCAGCGCCCCCAGGCGCCCCGCCTCGGGCGCAGATTCTTTGCACACGGTAAGCACGGCCCGCAGGTGAGCTGGCCCGGGCTCCAGTGGGGCGTGGGTGGGGTGCAGAAACTACGAAAAGGAAGCTGTGTTGGGCTGAGAGGCACTGCCATCCCTACCCAGACTTGGCTAGTGTATGAAGATGCTGAACCGGGAAAGGGGAGGGACGGGTGGCCTCCATTTGTTTGAGGCGTTGAGGCTATGTTAGCTGCAGTTGGGCAGGAGTTTGAGAGCCCTGGATCTTAAGCCCTGTTACTCTCTCTGACTGGATCTCAACTGCACAGGGCCCCCCCAAGAAGGCCTACACACCAAAGTTCTAGTCAGAGCTTGCCGGCAGTGACTGGCCCCGCCCCTGGCCCACGTGCCATCCAGGCCCGCCCTCCCCCCCTCCCCAAGGTGGCCACTACCCCACATGGCCCTCTTCTGATTTTCCTAAGAAGTCTAATGATTAACTCCGGTGGCACAATCAGCCGCATTATATTGGTCACTTTAACCCATCGGGGCACGTGACTGGGAAGGGACACTGGCGGTGCCCTCCCCCTTCTTCTGGGTTCACCCCTGCCGCCATGGACTTCCTCCTACGGCCTCAGGTTGGAGGAGATGGCCCGTTCCCCCTCCCCACAAGCTCCTCAGGAGCTGATGCCTCGCTTGCTCCCTAGCGGCTTCCTCACTCGTGCCAGCTTCCCCCTGCCCAGCTGCTTCTGGTGGAAATGGGGCAAGTGCTTGGGCTGGCCCGCCGGAGCTGCAGAGAGATAGATGGGCTGGGCAGGACTCCCTCCTCCAGCCCCCTGTCCCTGCCTGCCCTGGATGTTTCCTTCTGTGTCCCCCACCTCGACCCCTGCATGTCTCCCCAAGGCTGATCCTCCTGCCTGGCTCTTCCTTGCTGTAGCAGCTGGCACTGCCATGGAAGGGGTGGCATACCCTGGCCTTTGGAGGTCCTGACGCCCTTCAGGTCCCGAAG